CCTATTGCCATCAAGTCAATTTTGACTCATAGTGACTCTGTAAGACAGTGTAGAACTTCTTCATAGGGTTTCAGAGCCTGTAAAATTTTGTGGAAGCAGACAACCACAACTCTCTCCAGCAGAGCCATGGATGGACTTAGACTACTGACCTTGAGGTTAGCAGATCAATGCTTAGCCCACTTCATCACCAGGGCTGCTTGCCCAGAGGAACATAATGTGGTTTCTCATCTGATGGTAACTGTCTACTGGTACCTGAACTCCCACTCTCAGTGCTAAGAAAGATACAAGTGCAAAGGCAATGACCTCAAAGAAGGACAGAGAGGAAAGTGCTCTCCTTAGCTTTTTATCACCTTATATTTAGTTTATATCTTTGTCTCACATGGGTTTTTTTTTTTTTTTTCCTTTTCTGTTTTGTTTTTATAGATAGAATATGTGGTATTTGGAGAAATACCTAATGATCTTTCTGGTACTTTGATATTTTCTAATCACTCCCTGGGACGGCTGCAAGAAAGAATCTTACAACTCCATCATGAAAATGTCCAGCAGCAAAAACTAAACAAAGAATGCCGGGAGAGGCGAAAATTACTTATCAGAGAGAAGAGAGAGATGGCAAAAACCATACAGAGTGAGTAACTAAGCTTATGGAGAACTTAGCAATATTTATTGATAAGAGCGTGAACTATGAAATAGCTATTTTCAACTTAGTAAACAGTAATCATAGAGGCAGAACCAGTAAGGGAAGAAACCGGAACACCTTCTCATCTGTTGCTACTCATGATGCCATGAAGTACTTGCGCTCTTGCTTTTAAAAGACATTTTTTTTTTTTTAATCATAGGATTGTTTTTAATTGCACAGTGTTTTATGTATGGTAAAATACTATTGCTGAGGCTGTTGAAACTGTTGTTAGGTGCCATGGAGTCGATTCTGACTCATAGAAACCCCACATGACAGAGTAGACTGCCCTGTAGAGTTTACTAGGCTGTAAAGTTTATGGGAGCAGGTCACCAGCTCATTCTCTTGAGGAGCCGATGGGCAAGTTAGAACCACCAACCTTTCAGTTAGCTGCTGAGCACTCGTCCATGCACCCACCAGAGTTCTTCATGATACAATATAGAATAACGTAATAATAACCCATAGATTCACTATCCAGCTTGAGAAATAAAATATTAAAGATACAATAGAAGCTCCTTCTCTTTCTAATACCATTCTGCTTGCTGTCTCTTTCCCCAAGGCTACCACTAAATATGGGTGTGTGCATATGTATATACCCCACACAGTATGAAGACCAGTTGTACATGTCTTTAGTTGTAATAGCATTATACAACTCCTATCCTTCTGCAAAATTACTTTGTTAAACCTACGAGTGGAATTCTGAGATGGGGTTGCTATGAGTCAGAACTGACTCGACGGCACTTAACAAAGCTAGTAGTTCTATTTTTAGTTTTTGAGGAACCACCACACTGTTTTCCAAAAGGATTATATCATTTTACATTTCCACCAGCAGTGGATAAGGGCTCCAGCTTCCCCACATCCTCACCAACATTTCTTTTCTGTTTTAAGCCTTAGCCATTCTGGTGAGAGAGAAA